GCAGTTTCTCCAGAGCTGGTTTTGTCTTGTCTTCCCATTTCAGAGAATAGGGCATGGTTGATGTAGTTGTCACCAACTGCTTTTTATTTTTGCCAGTCCTGGGGGATGGGACAGTAACATGATCATATGAAGCAGGGAGTCTGTGCTGGTTTAAAAGTAAACCAGCTGGAGAAATGAACCCAACTCAAGAGAGATTACAAGTCAGACTTACAGTTTACTAAAAAAGATTACGATAAATGCAACGATACAGAGAAAAACTGGTTTTAACCCATAAAAGCAGATATATAACCCAGCACCCTGGGACAAGAACAGAACAGTGTTTGTTGGCCCCTGTGCTGAGCGCTATCCTCCTGAGTGCAAAGTAAAAGGAAAAGAAAACCTGTTTGTCCAGATGATGTTTGCAATTCTGTCGAAGTTCTGGTCCTCCTCTGGATACGACAAGTGGTACCAGAACTCCCAAAGCCCGAAGTTTATATATGCTCAGGTTCAGGTGGGAATGCCCATTATCTCCCCCAGGGCAGGGAGTTTCACAATGGGTGATTTAACTCTGTGAGTCATGGGATATTTCTGAGATCTTTGATGGTCTAGATGTTGCAGCTGCCTATTATGCCAGCCCATTGTGGCCCCTTAGCAGAGATGATCCCTCAGACTGGGTATGAAGGTGTTAATGCCTCCCCGGAGCTGAGTCATTGGTTTGAAAAGAAAAGAACACTCCCCTGACTCGCAGGGTTTCTTTTTCAGCTTGCAGTCTGAAGTGTCAGGTGTGCCCTGGGGAGCTGCTGCAAATGATCCATTACTAACAGTCCATCAGAAATTTCATAGAGTGTGTAGAATACACAGTTTTGGTTATACCCACATAATGATAAATTTGTCCCAGACTCTGTAACTAGGACTGAGTCCAAAGGACTTCTCTGACCCCTGTTCAGAAGACAGGCTGCCACTACGTGATAAGACCAGAACACTGAAGCAAATAAAAGATGTTATTCTGACCCTAGCTAATAAAAGACACTAGCTAAGACACTGTGACTGATTAATTCCTTGACTGTTATTGATGTCCGTTAGCAATTCTAACTTTCAAAAGCACAAACAAAAAGGTGTGTGAGAAGCCTGGGAAGGCTTCACTAGATTTTGTCCATAAGAGGTAACAATTCCCACCTCTCTTAGAAAGGCAAGTTCTTTAGAACAATTAATATTTTTGTTAATGTACACTCCATAAAAGAAGAGAATATCAGCTTGAACTTATATTTCAGAGGAAATGTGAAATTTGAAATGGAAGTGACTCAAGAGACCGTGAGGTGTAAGTGCTATCTTTAGACATTGTTTGGTGCACTTAATAATAAGATGAAAGAAGAAACAGAAGAGTCTGTGGTCAAGATGTCAAAGTACAGTCAAGGACAATTTATGGATTGACATTATTATTTGAAGCAGAAAAAAGACTCTAATAAAAACTATTCTTAGCAATCTGCAGGTATTCTGAGTAAAATGAAGTTAAAGTAGAATTGATTTTTTTACTGGAATTAATATTTGGAAAAGTGATTCAGGTGAGAGGCAATAGATATGAATAGAATCTAAATGGAATAAACCAACTTCAACAAAATTTAGCCTTTAAAAAACAAAGATCAGACTTCACAGTGCTGCAACAGCTATTACTGCCCATAATAATACAGATGTTAATTACTAGAAGCAAAGCCAAATCAACAGAGACCAAAAATCTGATGAAATACACCAAGAAAGCTAAAGTAACAGTACCAAGAAATTACATTTAAGTAAAAAATTCCTCCACTGGTCTGTCACTCTCTTTGTCATTCTTTGTCACAAGCTCTTTGTCAGTCCTCACTTACTGGGTTGGCAAAAACTGTCATGTAAACTGGCAAGAAATATTTTAATTTACACAAACTTCTCCAGTTCAGCTTAGAGTTTTATTATTGCGTATGAAGTGGTATATCAGGGTATGACTTACAATGTGATTTATGAAGTCTGGGAAAGAGTTTTCTTTTCATAAATACAATCAAAGCCACCCTGATTTCAGCTGTATTAACTCAGATGTGTAACTGATACATTTGTTTGAACTTATCTCCTTTTGGATAACACAATTGAAAAATTGTCATAATGAGAGTTATTTTAGCAATAACATGGATGACTTGACAGTAATGTTAAATATGATGAAGGAAGTGAATAATTTCATTACCTAGAACTTTTATTTTGAGTGGCTTGAAACCAACAACACATCAACAATGATAATAGGATTCTAGAAAACTAATCGTATCTTGGGTATTTATAAAATCATCTTCATGATAAGGGGGATGTTTACATGAAAGAACTTACTTATCCGCAGCTCAAACATATTCAATGGAAGAATGGACTGCTGGAAGGGCAGAAAAAATAGAGCAATAAAATGGTTGATATAAAAAGTACCAGCACATTACAAGAATTAGTAGTAGCAGCAATGAGGATGTTTAGAGCAAGGAGAACAGTAGTGTTTGTGTCATGCAAGCACAGAGGAAAGAGTGCACAAGGCCTCTCTGTCAGTCAAGTATGTAATTTTCTTCAAGTATGGTAAAACAATGTAAGGAATGAAAAGATTAAACATGAGAGGGGAATCTGACCTAAGGTAGTGTGGTGGATCTGGCTGAGCCGGAATTTATTTCCCCATAGTAGCCCTCACAGTGCCGTGCTGTGCATCGGTAGCTAGAGGAGTATTGATAACGCACCCATGTTTTGGCTACTGCTGAGCACAGCACCAACACTGTAACATTCCTTCTTCAATGGGAGGGTGAGATCCTGGGAGGGGACCCAAGTAGCCCAGCTGACCCAAACTGACCAAGGGGATATTCCAGACCATATGACATCAACCCAGATATAAAAGCTGAGGCAAGGAGCAGGACCAGAGGCACTCATTGTCTCTGATGGCTGCCTGCTGACAACTGTTACACGTGCTGGAGCCCTGCTTCTCAGAGAAGTGGCCGACCATCGCTGCTTATGGGAAGTAGAGATTAACTGCTGGCTTCTGCTTTGTGCGTGCGCACACTCCTTTTGCTTTCTTTTTTGCATAAATATAAACTGCCTTATTGCAACCCACAATTTGTGTTGTTTTCTTTTCCCACCTTACTCTCTCCCCTGTCCGGATGGGAAGGGGAGGGATAGAGCGGTTGGGTGGGCAGCTGACATTCAGCCAAGGTGAACCCACCACAAGTAGAAAGCTAAATTTACCCTCACTAAAACTCAGAGGGCAGTCATTGCATAGCACAAAACAAGTTTTAATCCTTCATCCCAACTGAGAAAGGGTTTGATGTTTCGTTGGAGTCACTAGTGCAAAACATCTTTACTGCATATTTATATTTAATTATTTTTAATTTAAGTTTAAAGAGTGGAGTAATACTCCTACTGCTAGCTGAAGAGCTGAAAATAATTTTTTATGGTTTCTTATTTCATTGGTTGTTTTATTTTTTCCAAATCACAAATCAGAGACATCTGTATTGACAAAGTTCCAGTTCTGTTGTACATGGAGTAGAGGAGGATGCTGAGTTCAGATCTCCACAGTATTGGTGCTCAATAGTAGCATCACAAGGGGGCACCGCAGTTCAACTAAGTGACTAAATGACGTTGCTTCTTGTTAGAGTGTCAGCTCATCCTAGCTGTCTAAACTACTGGATCAGGCATTAAATTTTTTTGAAAAGATCAATCTGACAGCTCAAATCCCATAATCACTGCTAAGTATATCATAGAATGTTGAAAATGTCATAATATTAAATCCTGGTTCCATTAAATAATGCAATTTCCCATCCTGGATCCCATGAAGTCTTTTCAGTTTTACCACACAGGTGTTTGCTGCTCAGGAACCAACAATTTCGCTGGCACATTTGCATTTTCCCTTTGCTAAATCTTCTCGTCAAGGAGTCCTGTAGAGTATCCAGCCTTCCTGAAAATGACCTAATCTGAAACCACATGGATGTATAATGGGCTATGTGTAGGGCTATGGTTCTTGACCAGGGTTCTCTCCAGCTCAGGACTGAGCCCTCACTGGTTGTTTAACTTGCAGCACATCTCTCCTCACGGCTTCAGCACAGTATTGAGAGGGTATGCACCTTCTTCTGACGAACTAAAAATGTCATAGGAGCAGTTGCTTTTGTTGTTATTACTCTCAAATAGTTCTTTTTCAAAGCTAAGCCCATGATACCAAAAAAAAAAAAAAAAGTTATGATTTTGTTTTTTTCAAGTCGAAGATACTTTTAGACTGAATCTTTGATGTGTATTTGTATAATAGCCTTCTAAAATACTAAATTTTAATTATAGAAGAAGGAAAATCAAATAACCCTTCCTTAATTAAGCTGGAAATCATTAATACCAATGAGTTAATTAATTTACTCAAGCCAGTATCAAATGTTTTCATATCGTCTCTTGCTCTAAAAAATCAAATCCCTACCAGTAAAATATCACCCCAGCATTATTACAGAATTATTTCACTTTATGCATATGCACCTACTCCACAAGCATGTGCAGCCTCATGTGTAAAACCTTCAGAACTCAAGAGCTGTCTTGCAGAACCTTTGCAGCAAAACCAGAGGTTTTATAAACACAATGAATACCAAAGAGAATTTCTGGTTAGTCTGCTTATCAAATTTTTATTTGACATAAAGCTATCCTCCTGGCACGCTGATTTCCACATGTTTCATGATGATCTGTCAATGATATTTTGCCATTTTCTCCTGCCTTTTTTCTACTGTAGCACACTTAATGCTGGGCACATGCTGAGCACCTTTCTTCAATATTTTTCCACTTTTTTTATTCTCCATTTTCAACTCATGTATCATTTCCAAAAAGTTTCCCGATAATTACATTTCCAAGCACATTTTTAAGCTATTTCCTGCAGACATTTGTCCATGTGAATAAACCATTATGCTGATGAAATAATAACAGTAACTACTAACACAAGGATTACATATAGAGAAGAATCTGGACCTTGGGGAAGGTACTGAGCAAGGTGTGTACAGGTAACTTACCTGTCAAATAGTTCTCCACCTGTGACCAATTCCAGAACAAGACTGATTTCTGTAGGGGTCTCAAATATCTCCTTCAGTTTTATCTGGTAGAAGATAACAGAAAGTATTTATTTTGCTTATTTGTCTTCTTGGTGAGCATTGTCAGGGCGTCAACAGTAGGACACACACCACAGCTGGTAGATCTACCTTGTTCTCTCCCACTTTTTTTTTTTTTGCTGGCTTTATCTCCTTTGCATTTCTTTTTTTTTTCTTTCTTTCTTTTGGTTATTTTCTTACTCATACCTCAGTAATCTCTATGAAATACAGCAGTTTAAGAGGCTGTCTGCCAATCTTTCAGAGAAACTGAAAAGTAAAACCTTTACTACCCTTCAAGGACTGACAACACCAACTTTCCACTTTCATTTGCAGAACTTTTTTCACATAGTTTCTTACTCATGTCTCTAAGAACATTTTATTTTAAAGTGTAAGTATAACTCAAGAAGCTTTCATAAAAAGCTGCTAGCATGCTCATGAAGAGAAAGCAAAGCTTTAATCCAGGTCTGTATTGATGAACCTGAACAGTCATCTCTTATGAATAGAAAGAATTTTTAAAAAACAAATAAACAAATGTGGAGTGAAAAAACAAAGTTAAACTTACAATGTTTGGATGTGAAAGGCGGAGAAGAACTCCAATTTCTGTGCGGACAATTTTCTTGTCTACCTGGTTAAAATAGGGGAAGGAAAAAGTGAAAAAATTTATTTCTATGGTCACCATAGAAACTTCTAGCTACATCACAGGAAAATATGTAGGAATAGCATTTCTAGTTCTCTCTGGAGATAAGCTGATGTGAGACATACAAGTCAAATAAGAACAATTTTCCATTAATACGAGACAGATACTGTAAAAGAAAAACATCTGCATCTAGCAAAAAGATTTCAGATACATCTGTAAGTCACCCAAGAAATATATAAGAAAGACATCTGGAAAAGCTGTATAAATTCCTATTTGTACTCAAGTTCTACTCTTGTCTATTGCTACTTATGTTGGCTAAGTTTTTGCTAGGATAGCTTCATTTTGACACACTTTGTTCAGCAACTGTACTGGAAAATTTTTCTGCACACAGGATGTGAACATGAAAGTAGTGTAACATACTGCTTAGAACAAAAAGGTAATGCAAAGGTCAAATACCCCGCCTGTCACAGATTAAAAGGTTTAACTTCAACTTGCTTCAGTTACATCTAACAGAATGGTCTATTAATGCAAAGGATTGGTTAAACCTCTGAAAGGATTAGAACTTCCCTTTTCTTCCCTTTACAAACTGCAGTCTTTAGCAAACCAGGCACAACTTATGTTGTTGGGGGACATCAGCCATTTCATAGAATCATAGAATCAGCTGGGTTGCAAAGACCTCCAAGATCATCAAGTCCAACCCTTGATCCAACACTGCTGTGGTTACTAGACCATGGCACTAAGTGCCACATCCAGTCTCATCTTAAAAACTCCGGGGACAGTGAATCCACCACTTCCCTGGGCAGCCCATTCCAATATCTGATCACCCTCTCTGTAAAGAAATTCTTTCTAATATCTAACCTAAACCACCCCCGGCAGAGCTTAAGACCATGCCCTCTTGTCCTACTGCTGGTTGCCTGGGAGAAGAGATCAACCCCCACCTGGCTACAACCTCCTTTCAGGAAGTTGTAGAGAGTGAGGAGGTCTCCCCTGAGCCTCCTCTTTTCCAGGCTGAACAGCCCCAGCTCCCTCAGCCTCTCCTCATAGGACTTGTGCTCGAGTCCTTTCACCAGCCTTGTTGCTCTTCTCTGGACCTGCTCCAGCACCTCAATATCCTTCCTGAACTGAGGGGCCCAGAACTGGACACAGTACTCCAGGTGTGGCCTCACCAGCGCTGAGTACAGGAGAAGAATCACTTCTTTAGACCTGTTGGCCACACTGTTCCTGATCCAGGCCAGGATGCCCTTGGCCTTCTTGGCCACCTGGGCACACTGCTGGCTCATGTTCAGCTTCCTGTCAATCCAAACTCCCAGGTCCCTTTCTGCCTGGTTGCTCTCCAGCCACTCTGTGCCCAGCCTGTAGCACTGCATGAGGTTGTTGTGGCCAAAGTGCAGGACCCAGCACTTGGCTTGTGAACCTCATCCCATTGGAATCAGACCATCTCTCCAGCTTGTCCAGGTCCCTTTGAAGAGCCCTGCCTTCCAGCAGATCAACACTCCCCCCCAACTTGATGTCATCTGCAAATTTGCTAATGGTGGACTCAATTCCCTCATCCAGATCATTGATAAAGATATTAAACAGAACTGGGCCAAACACTGATCCCTGGGGGACACCACTAGTGACCAGCCACCAGTTGGATGCAGCACCGTTCACCACCACTCTCTGGGCCATCAGCCAGTTCCTAACCCAGCACAGAGTGCCCCTGTCCAAGCCATGGGCTGCAGCTTTTTCAGGAGTATGCTGTGGGACACGGTGTCAAAGGCTTTGCTGAAATCCAGATAGACACATCCACAGCCTTCCCCTCATCCACCAGGTGGGTCACCAAATCATAAAAGGAGATCACATTGGTCAGGCAGGACCCGCCCCTGCTAAACCTGTGCTGGCTGGGTCTGATCCCTTGTCCATCCTGTAGGTGCTGTGTGATTGCACTTAGGATGGTCTGCTCCATAACCTTGCCAGGCACTGAGGTCAGGCTGACAGGCCTGTAGTTTCCTGGATCCTCCTTGCAGCCCTTTTTGTGGACAGGCGTGACATTCACCAGCTTCCAATCATTTGGGACCTCCCGAGTGAGCCAGGACTGTTGGTAAATGATGGAGAGCAGCTTGGTGAGCTCTTCTGCCAGCGCCTTCATCACCCTAGGATGGATCCCATCTGGTCCCATAGACTTGTGAGGATCTAAGTGGCTCAGCAGGTCACTAACTTACAAGCATCCTGGCAAATGGCCATTTGGATAGATTTTGCAACAAAAATGAGCAGGTATAAGTGACATGAATTGTTCCAGAGTAAAAGCAGGACCATATTTACTCATGGCATTTTATTACAAACAGCCAGTTTTATTACTGCTACTTTCTTACTTTCTCCTACACAAAGTATAGATAAATTTGTATCAACATTTATTTCAGCTCCTTCCAAAAAAGTGTATCTACTTGTATCAGGGCCAAACTTGGCTTATTTTTAGTTGGGCAGGAGTAGCAGCAATTCAACTACTTATATTGTATTTTCCTATCATCATCCTATCAAATAATTTCCTGACAGAAACTATTTGGTAGGATGAGAGTCAAAAATCTCACTCTAGGGTGTAAGTTGCTATAGTAACAATTTTTAAAACTTAAATAATTTAATCAAATATGCTATTACCACAAATATTTGAACAAATTAAATGTTTGGCTACATCAAATGCAGTAGTCTAATTTGTGTAGATGCAATAACTGATCAAAATGAGGTTGCAAAACTGTTTGTCTCCTCCTCTTTCTTTAAACTAATGTTACTCACAGAAGTGTCAGTGAGACCTTTGTGAGTATATTACAGTCAAGAATAATAGGGTAGAACTGGTGTCTGTTTGTGAAGAAAAAAACAATCAAATGTTAACTTTCAGATGTTTCACAGTTCCACTAGTTTAGCAATTGTCCTTCTATCCTTTATTCTTTGCTTTTAATCTATGCTAAATGGACTAGAGTATGCTTTTGGCCAGACATTTCATCAGTATAATTTGATTTCCACTTAAAAGACTACATTTCACTGTGTGAAAAACTAGTTCTGTTGTATAAATGAATGGTTGGGTGATTTTAACACTGGTGCAGTTTTACTGAGCTGCATTTTCTGTTTGCAAACTTTAAATTGCAAACAATCGAGAGGCATTTGCTTCTTTAGGCCTGTAAAGCAACAATTGCTGTGGAAATCTATGTCAATTTGAGAAGTCATTTGCCAGGTAATCCTGAAATAGTCATTTGTCAGCTCTTCACCACTGACCCTAGGCATGAAGATTTCACTAGGAGAAAGCAGCAGTCCAGAAACCCCATCCACCCTTCTAATTTATATTAAAGCATTTACTTTAAGGTAATTATTCCTGGGTTATTTGCAGTACTTTGTGTTTCCAGTTATTTCACTTCTCTAGAATTAAGCATTTATCCCCTTTATAGGTATGTGTCTGCAAACCCCAGATCTTTGAAATTTGATGTTGGTCATTCAGTGACGTAACCTTAGGTTTATAATCAGTGTATTTCTGATTTATGAATTTCAGATTATTTTGACAGAGGAAAGGACTGGAAAAATCCTCAATGAGAGCTGAGATTCTTTCATGTTTCCCTGCCCCAAGATGGTGAGGTGGAGTGATGTTACAAACCACTAAGATGTAAAAGTGATGTTTTTCTCTCAATTAAATGAAACAAGATGAAATGAACTACCACTGTACATAGATTAACACAGCTGCTGCCTTGTGATATGGTACACCACCCTTAAAACCAGTGGCCAACAGACACACTCTGTACCCTCAGACTTAGTAGAGAGCAAGAAGGAGTACATTCCTCATCCTACATGTTCAGGCCCTCTTTCTCCTGGGCAGTGTGGACATGGAGGGGCACATTTGCCCAGCTGTGACCACCATACAGGCTGGGGGACAACACAGTGCCCAGGCAAGGGGTGTGAAGAAACCACTGCAAAGAGCTTTCAAGGAGTTTCACAGGACTGCCCACCCCAGTGAGCCTGTTCACCCCAGCTCTGCCTGGCTCCTTAATTAATATCCCACTTCTTGACTCACATGAACACCTCTAATATGAGCAATGAATTCTTTATTGAACCAGCAGGTTGGGCTCTGAGTATGTGTTTCCCTGCACTTACAGGGGGCATGATGCAAATCATTATTGGCTTGCCACCACACTATTAAACGTGCTTCCAAGAAAGCTTTTATATTCATCTCAGCTAAAGTAACTACTCTGAAGCCTAACTCCTTCTGTATTTTATAGCATCAATTGCTAATTACCATTTATAACTTCATCATTATTTTGCTTTCCTACAATTAAGCTGAAATATTAAAACTTACACAGATACAGACTACACACAGGCAGAGCTGTCAATTCCGTGGTTATCTAAAAGGTTTGTTACCAGTTGTTAAATCTACACACAGGACTGCTGGGTTACTTGACTTCTCTTGAAAGGTTTCAAGAAAAAAAAAAAGAAATAGGCTTGAATTTAAAGATTGAATTTAAATAAATCTTCACAAGAAGAAGACTCAAAGTACAGTTTAAGGTCTTGCTTTTTAATTCAGAATGTCCTGAATAACAGGAATTCCAGTTTCTGCCCTGTTCATACACAGCATATCTTCTCACAAAGTCTTTCAGTCAAGATTTCAAGGATAAAACACTCTAAAGAAGACTTCTGACTGTACTTTTACATCTTTATAAAGCTAAGTAGTACCATTGAAAGCATCTGAGCTGGTCTATATATCAGTGGAAGATACAGATGACATTCTTCACCGTAAGTGATAAAGAATCATAGAGGCTACAAAAAGTGGTATGACAGAAAAATCCCAGAACAAATGAAAATAGAGGTTTATATGTGACTCAGTCTGAGTTACTCTGGTGTAATTCAGTAACCAGCATGGCAGTGGACAGTAGGTAAAAGCGTAATTTAAAAAAGCTGACCCTTTTGAATGAAAGGATGCTTCATTGTTCCAACTAGGACATTTATTTAGCAGCTGCTTCAGATGATTTGAT